TTAGGAGTAGCAGTCCCTGAGGGCCAGACTACTGTGGAGCTTACTGCTCTTCTGGGCGTAGCCACTCAGTGGTGTTGCTATACTCCAGGATGGTGCTGGGGAATGTGTGCAAGGAATTCAGTGATGTGACCCCTCCTCTAGTCTCCCAGCAGCGGGTACCAGCACCAGCTCTGATGGGGGTGGGAAGGGAGTTACGTAGACTATGAGATTTTCTTGGTTATCTCAAGGAAATCTCCTTGAGATTTATGTTGGTTTTCTCAGATGCTAGCTTGTGTTGGCTTTCTCACATGCCAACTGTAGTAGTAATGTAATGGGCACATGGACAGACTCAAGACCTTCTGGTTAGCCAGGGTGATGCAGGCAGTGACTTTAACTGAGGTCATGCAAAAAATTTCTCCTTCCTGAGGGTGGTGGTATTGTGCCTGCAGATGTTGTAATGCGCTGTGCTGGTTGGCCTCAAGAAGTGTTGCTTGCAAAAGAACACCAACTATGGGGGTAGTGGTGGGATTTGTGCTTGCCTTATGTTACCCAAGGTATCTCAGGCAATAGGCAGGGCCATGGAGCTTCCCAAAGTCCCTGTCTGTTGTGTTATACTATCAGGGCGAGTCAAGGGACAAAGCCAGATGGGGGCCGGATCAGGCAAGTCTGCATTCTGGCTCTTCACATGTGGGCTCAAGTGGTGGCCCCATTAGGCGGGCCATAGGGATAATGTTCCAGGGTGGAGCACAGCTGCTTCTGACACACAAAATAATCTGCATGGGGCATTAGGTGTTACAGACGGCAGTGAGCCCCACTCAGCTCCCATACACTTGGCAAGACAGGTCTCACACCCAGTGTTCCACTAGTGGCAGCTAGTTGGGTTGTAGGCAGCCTGCACTTAGAACTCAAAATTGCCTCAGGCTATAAGCCTTCCCAGCCAAGACAGAAACCAGTTTTCAAGCCGTGTCCCTCCAGGTCTGCCTGCAGAGCAGGGACACCCAGCTCCTGCACCTGTGGCTATAGCACACTTCCCACTTGTCCCTTGGTTCTGGCCAAGGGAGTCCATCTGCACTCAAGATTATATCACAAGTCTCAGTTGGGAGCTTCTCTCAACTTGTGACCTCTGCCTGAATTAGCTGAGGTCTTCCCTGCAGTAGGATGAGGAATGGCTTCCCTCTGTCCCTGCTGGAGTCTGGGAATGGGTACAAAGCATGTCCTGATGCCGCTTCTGGTATTCTCCCCAGTGTTAAGTGAGCTCCAGCACTGGGTAATGTTAAGGCTTTCCCCCTTGGCCTGAATTGGGTTAAGGTATTTTTTTTTTTATACCTGAGTGGGGTTAAGGCGTTCCCCATTGGCTTGACTCCCCAGTGGGAGTATGTGTCATGGAGGAAGCCTCTTTCCCACTCAAGCTCTACAGACACAGTTTTCTCCTTGCTTCATGGTATAGGCTGCTGGCCATCACTTCTTTCAGAGGGTCTGTGGTTTCTTTAAGTTTTTTCTGTTCCTGTGTTACTTCTAGGAAAAAAGTTCACAGCATGAATCTCTACACATGATTTTGTCTTTCCAAGTGGGAGGGGCATGTTAATCCCTTTACCATCTTGAAGAAAGAAAAAACAAATTTGTTTTCTTAATAGCTTTTTTAGATAGTTTGTTGTTAGTGTATAGAAATGCTACTGATTTTTATAGGTTGATCTTTTATCCTGCAACTTTGCTGAATTTGTTTAACTGTTCTGTTTTTTGTTGAAGTCTTTTTCTCTATATAAGAGCATGTTAGCAGAGACAGTTTCACTTCATTGTTTCCTATTTAGACACCTTCTGTAGATAGTACCTGACTTAGAGAATGTTTGACTCACAATTTTTTTACTTTTGATGGTGCAAAAGCAATTCATATTTGGTAGCAACAATACTTTGAGTACCTGTTCAACCACTCTGTTTTTCACCTTCAATACAGTATTCAATAAATTACATGAGATATTCAACGCTTCATTATAAAATAGATGCTTTTGCCTATTTGTGGCTTAATGTTAAGTGTTCTGAACATGTTTGAGGTAGGTTAGGCTGAGCTGTGATGTTCGGTAAGTTAAGTACATTAAGTGCATTTCAGTTTATCATGGGTTTATTGGGACGTAACCCCATCATAAGTCGAAGAGCATCTCTACTTCCTTCTCTTGCCTAATTGTTTTGGCCAGGCCATCCAGTACTATGTTGAATGGAAATGGTGAGAGTAGGCAGCCGTGTCTTATTCCTGGTTTTAAGAGGAAAAGCCTTTAACTTTTCACCATTGAGTTTGATGTTAGCTATGGGCTTTCTATATATGGCCTTTATTGTGTTGAGGAATGTTCCTTCTATACCTTATTTGTTGAGTGTTTTTGTCATGAAAGGATATTGAATTTTGTCAAATGCTTTTTAAAATATCTTTGGGATGATCATTCTTTTTGTCCATCCTTTTTGTCTTTCATTCTCTTAATATGGTGAATCACATTTATTGATGCATGTATATTGAATCAGCCTTGCATCCAGGGATAAATCCCACTTGATCATGGTGAATTTTTTAAATGAACTGTTGAATATGCTTTGCTAGTATATTGTTGAGGAATGAGTATTTCTTTGTATCAGCAGATCCTTGGCATCAGTAGCAAGGGTATATTCTAGTGGTCATCATGGTGGCCAGTACTTACTGTGTATTTCAGTTACCGTGCTAACTGCTTTACATGAAATATTTTATTAATGTTCTTAACAGACGTCTAAAGGAAATAGCATAATTCTCTTTTTATAGATGAGAAAATAAGCCTAAAGTTCTAGTAATTTGCATGAAATCACGTAACACAAGTTTCCCTTTTCCTACCAGAAGGAAAGAGTGATTAGTGAACCAGTAGTCTAGACTGAGATGACTGAGTTGAGTTAGGTGAACATGAGATTTGCATGTTTCTCAAGTAATCTTCTGTGTTAGTTATAGCCTGGTTGGCTGGCACTAAAACTGAGGTATAAATAGAGTTGTTTTTATAGCTCTTCTATTTCACCTTGCTCTCAATGTGTATCCAGCACCTAAGTGCTGGATTCTAGCTTGTAGGGGTTGTACTGGTCTTTTTCTTTTTTTCATTTTAATCAAGATCCCTTTTCTCTGTCCGAAGGTTGATTAGATTATCCAATGAAGGAAATGCTGAGGGATTAAAGGATAGATTAATTTCAGAAATTTGTCTTGGTAAAATTGCTCTCTTGCTCATCTGGTATGATCTTTTAAAAATGCATGCACAATTAGGATCGTGTGTGAGACAAGTAGTTTTTACCAAAGAGAGAATATAAGGTAACTAGCATCAGAACCGTAAATTATTTCCATTTGCCCTTCTTTAACATTTACCATTGAAGTTAAACTTTTGAGGGCTCAGTAAAGCAATAAAAAACCATTTCTTAGGAGAGAGAGATGAGCTATCACAATGTATGTATTCAAAATTCTAATAGCAGAAAACTTTATTGTTTTTGACACCCATGTTAACTCTAAACAATGCATATGAAGTATATTTAAGAGATTGTTCAGTTGCTCTAGAAGACGAAGAAAAATAAAACTATAGTGGATGTACACACATAGAAAGACAAATATTGCATATTCTCACTCATATATGGTAGCTAAAACAGTGGATTTCATGAAGATGGAAAGGAGATTGCTGATTACCAGAGGCCAGGAATGGTAGGGGGAAGGGAGGTGAAGAAAGGTTAATGATATAAATATACACTTAGATAGAAGAAATAAAACCTGGCTGGGCCTGATGGCTCACACCTGTAATCCTAGCACTTTTGGAGGCTGAGTCCTTTAGGTCAGGAGTTTGAGACCAACCTGGCCAACATGGTGAAACCCCATCTCTACTAAAAATACAAAAATTAGCTAGGTGTGGTGACACACGCCTGTAGTCCCAGCTACTCGGGAGGCAGAGGCAGGAGAATTGCTTGAGCATGGGACATGGAGGTTGCAGTGAGCCGAGATTGCACCACTGCACTCCAGTCTGGGGGACAGAGCAAGACTCCATCTCGGGAAAAAAAAAAAAAAAAAAAAGAAGAAGAAGAAATAAGACCGTATGTCTGATAAATCCATAGGGTGGCTATAGTTAACATTAATTGATTCTATATTTCAGAATAGCTTAGAAGAGAATAATTTGAACATTCCCAATATAAACAAAAGATAAAGTTTGGGGATATCCCAAATTTTTCTGATTTGATTATATGACTATATTAAATTATCACATGTATCCCCAAAATATGTACATCTAATATAAATCAATAAAAATGAATAAAAAAGTTTTAAAAATCTCAACTGGCTTAAACCAGAGAGATTTATTTCTCCCTCAGGTAGAAGACCAAGCTGATGATGGGTGGATCAGAGATATAAATAGCTCTGTTCCACAAGGTCATTCAGATGTCGAGGTTCCTTCTGATCTTGTTTTTCCAGTATTTTCCCAGGGTATTATCCTCAGCTGTTTGTGGTTAAGCAAGATCACCACCACCATATCTGTCTCACAGCCTTCAATAAGAGAGAAAGAACGAATGGTGGGCAAGCAAGTTTCTTTCAAAGACATGACCCAGAAGTGATACACATCACTCCTACTCACATCCCATTGGTTACACCTTAGTCACATGGCCACAACTAGCTGCTCTTGTATCTGGAACGGTAGTCTGTAGCTGTGCAGACATGAGTAGATACTGTAAAGATCTATTACTGAAAGGTATGAGGGGAGAATGGATATGGGGATCATTAGCAGTTTTCACTACAGAAGTTTATTTATTTTTGCCAGCCTATCCTGCAGTCTGTTAAGAGAGTTGTTAGGGAGTAGCCATGCCAAAGGACTTTGTAATATTAGGTTAGTAGCATACTAAAATGTAGTAGAAGAGGTTTCACTAGTGATTTAAATTTGTTTTCAGAAACAAAGCACAAAACTGAACGTTTGATAATTTGATGAGATCACTTCAAACTGTGTTAAAGTTGCTGGATATATGAGCTAATAATTATTTATTTTGTTCTTGTATTTTAGGCCTCAACTCCATATAGCATAGATTCAGATTCTTTGGGAATGGAGTGTATTATTTCTGGAAGTGCCTCTCCAACTCTGGCAATCAACACTGTGACTAACAAAGTAATTTCATTTTTTTAAACATTATTGAAATGTCATTGAGTAGTGCATTTAGTTTGCTTTTGTAATAATGATAGAATTCTATATTGAGTTTAAAGATTATATAAATTTGTCTACCCTATACATGGTAGCTTGAAGGCTAAATTCAGAATTTTTTGAGATATGCACAATTTAGAACAAAATATCTCTCAGGATAAATTGGAAGGTGCTTATTGAGAAGTTCTGTACTCATTTAAAAATTCTTGGCTCTCACAGTTCCTCTTGATAGAATTTGTGAGCCAGCATTTTATTGAATCAGTTTGTTTCAAACTTATTAATTACCTCTCCAAATAAGTGGTTGAAAAAAAAGATTGTCAAATTTGGGGGAGTTAACAGAATCCAGTAAAATAAATAAGTGGACAGCATCATAGAGTTCACTGCGATGGTAGTCTGCCTATTCTAATGATATTCAAGTCTAGGAACATAGCCAGAAACAGTGTATGGTAGTTTGTGACATTTCGATGACTGAGTCACAACTTTGTGATGGGTTATTATATACCTAGTGCGATACAAATGTCTCTTCTTTGTAAGACGGTTTCTTAATCTTATATCTCAAAACCCTGAAAAGACTCTGGGAGGTTCATGAATTCAGTTTTGTGCATCTGTTTTCTTCTCTACTAGACCATGAGTACTTCAGAGCCATGCATCTCTCATACTTACGCTCAGATTCTCTTTCAGTCTTGTTTTCATTTTCTCCCTTTGGGTTTCACCCTCTTTTTCTCCCTCCCTCTCTCTGACTTTTATTCTCCCACTTTACGCACACACATAAATATGGACACATACACATGTATCATTGCACTAATATGGCACTCATAGGATCCTTTTACTTGTAGAAAGATAGTAGATAAACAGAAGACAGATTATAATCAGACTGACATAGTCAAGATTTCCAATTCAGAAAGGAAACTGGCAACCTAGGCATAAAGGAATGATTCTTCTCACGTGACAGTCTCTGGAATAAATTACATCATAGTCACTTAGAGGATTTATGGCGGAGAGGGTGGGGGGATTGGTGGTGGTGGTAGTGGTGGTAATCCCAGGATTCCATTGCAGTCCTACCAAATCAGTTATTCTGTCATTATGAATAGGGCCCAGAAATATGTATTTTAAAAAATGATCTCTAATGGTGACCAGCTAGATGAGAATTTCTGGTGAAGTGGTTGAATTAGAATCAGAGATACCTAATACTGCTCTGTGCAGTAGTCTGAGTGATGATGAGGACCTAAACATAGATGATAGTTGTGGTTATTAGGAAACAATTAAGAAGTAGTAATGCTGGGACTTTATGACCTATGACCAAATAATGTGGATGTCAAAGGAGCTGAAGGTTTTGGATTTCTGCATCCAGATTTGACAGAATACTAGTATTAGATTAATCTTTCTGCCTATCTGTGTAAAATACCAGATATACATAGCCACACACCTCTCCCCTCCCACCTCCTTGATTAAAAAAAAGAAGAGGGAGGTATTAGAAACTAAGACAGTTCAGGATCCCAGAGAAGAGGTAAACACGTTGAGATAAGTTCTGTAAATTTTCCTTTGGTACATTTCCTGATTCCTGGTGCATGACATAGGGGCTACACAGAGAGCAGTAGCCTAGAGCAGTCAATCAACTAGGAAGACAAAAATTGGAGCTTGGGGTTACCAAACAGCCCGGGCTTGCAGACCCACGTCTCAGGGGTGAGTTAAACCTTTTTTTTCTTTTCTTTTTTTTTTTTTTTTGAGGCAAGTCCTCACTCTGTCACCCAGGCTGGAGTGCAGTGGCATGATCTCGGCTCACTGCAACCTCTGCCCCCTGGGTTCAAGCAATTCTCCTGCCTCAGCCTCCCAGGTAGCTGGTATTACAGGTGCCTGCCACTGTGCCTGGCTAATTTTTGTATTGTTTTGTTTTGTTTTGTTTGAGACAGAATCTCGTTCTGTCGCCAGGCTGAGGGAAGTGGCACAGTCTTGGCTCACTGCAACCTCCTCCTCCAGGGTTCAAGTGATTCTCTTGCCTCAGCCTCCCGAGTATCTGGACCACAGGAGTGCACCATCACACGTGGCTAATTTTTGTATTCTTAGTAGAGATGGGGTTTCACCCTGTTAGCCAGGATGGTCTCGATCTTTTGACCTTGTGATCTGTCCACCTTGGCTTCCCAAAGTGCTGGGATTACAGGCATGAGCCACCGTGCACGGCCTAATTTTTGTATTTTTATTAGAGACAGGGCTTTGCCATGTTGGCCATGCTGGTCTCGAACTCCTGACCTCAGGTGATTTGCCCACTTTGGCCTCCCAAACTGCTGGGATTGCAGGTGTGAACCATCACGCCTGGCCAAATTCAACTTTTTATAAGCAGTATCCACTTAAGGCATTTGCTGACTCGTAACTGTGTGTGCTAGGGCTCAGACACAAAGTAGTTTTTTGCTAGCCAAATTCAACAGTCTCACAGAATAGGAAGAACAGATACTGTAGTTTGTGTTCTTCAGAGGAAAAGAGAGCCATGGTAAACACCCTAGGCTTTCAAGTTGATATCTGAGAAAAATTTTGTTCTGTGAGTAAGAGCAAATCAAAATAGATCAGCCTCAACACTAGAGTGGTATGCTCATATTCTTTTTGCAAAAAGAAAAGTGAATTCTCTCTGGAGGAAGGTAACATCCTCCAGAGCTTTTGTAATTTTCCGTAAGTATAAGATGTCGCTTTCAGTCAGAATTTCCAGGAATGCTAGGAAATAGTTCAAAATAACTAAATATGAAGCTGCGGGGCGGGGGGGAAGGTAGTCAATATAAACATGTGATTTGAATATTGATTGCAAAATAACTATAACATATGGTCAAGAAAATAGATGAGTTATATAAAATTTATAGAGAATTAGAATTTATGGAAGAATCAAGAGGAAACTGTAGAACTAAAAAAATACAGTAACTGAAATTAAGAATTCAGCAGATAAGTTTAATAGCAGATCAGACATATCAGCAGAGAAAACTAATGAATTGGAAGATAGATAGGTCAGTAGAAAGTTTGCAGATGGAAGCACAGAAAGAAAAAAAGGATGGAAAATTCAGAAAAACTTAAGAGGTAAATGGGACATGGGGAAAAGGTCAAACAAGGTTGTTTTTAGTGTGCAGGAAGAGAAGAAAAAAGAATAAAGAAGATCGATTTAAGCATGCCTTTCTGTAATTCATACTACAAGCAGACCAAATCAAAACAACCTCATTTAAAGGTAGAGAATATTTGGTCTGGGTGCTGTGGCTCACTCCTTAAATACCAGCACTTTGGGAGGCAGAGGTGGGCAGATCACCTGTGATCAGGTATTTGAGACCAGCCTGGCCAACATAGCAAAACTCTATCTCTACTCATAATACAAAGATTAGTATACCAGCCTGGGTGACACAGGAAGACTCTTGTCTCAAAAAAAAAAAAAAAAAAAAAAAAAAAAAAAAAAAAAAAAAAAAATCCAGAATATTTGAACCACATAATTAGGAAATCTGACACAATTAACATATACAGAATACTCTGCCCAATGGATGTAGAATATCCAGTTTTTACGTGCACATGCAATAATTATCAAATTTAATCTTGTGGTACTGATCTATGCTAGGTCATAAAGGACATTTCAACAAATTTTGAAAGACTGACATCTTACAGAATATATTTTCCAGCTGATTGGAATTAAGGTAGAAATAATAAAAAGATAATCAGAAAATTTCCTCAAAATGTGCAAGTTAAGCAATATAATTCCTAATAACCTATAGATCAAAGAAGAATCATGATAAAAATTAGAAAATTCTTTGAATTGATGAAAAACATGACCTATCAAAGCCTGTGTAATGCAGTTAAAATAACCTTAATTACATGTATTAGACTGGAACAAATATTAATGATTTAGGTATTTAGAGAAAGGAGAGCAAAACAAATTCAAAGAAGAAGATAATAAAAATGAGAGACGTCCACGAAATAGAAAGCACATATTTTATACTAAAGTCAACAAATGAGAAGTTGGTTTTTTAACAGAGATTAATAAAGTCAGTAGAGACTTCTGCTTGCCTCCAGCCAAAGTGGAATAATAGGGTCTAGATATACTCTGCTACCTGAAACAACTCAAAAAAATACACAAAATAATCATTTTCAAGAGATTGGACCTCAAGGAACAAAGGACAGTGATCCCTAAGAAATGGTGAACAAACAAGGTGAACCCTAAAATTGTCCCAGCTTACTTCCTAGAGAAAGTTTCCAGGGCACAATGCAGGAGCATAGAGGTCTCCCTGAATTGAGGACGTAGAGTTGGGAGATAATGGAATCCAAGTTGTCTAGAGTTCATAGGGCAGAATACCAGAGAGAAGGGAGCTGAACAAGGGCAGAATTTCAGAGTTGTACAGAGGATGCTTCTGGAATCTTTAGCTGGGTTAGAGTTACTGATCAGTGCATGAATGAGGAGGCTACCCTGGCTATGGAAAGAACCACCCAGAATAGTGTAGACAGTCATTGAGACTCGTAGAACCAAGTGTAGATCCTGTTTCCATGAGAGTGGAACACTTAATTTACAGAGTGTTGGGTGAAGTTCTCAGAAGGCTTTTATTTCCTTAGTAACAGGAACAGAAAGTTATTCTTGGACAAAAATGCTGCTCTAGTCTTACCTACACATCTTAAAAACAAAACCAAAAAGGATCAAACTGTTATTCAGTAATCAGAACTTAATTTTTTTATTTTAGTTTTTTTGATATATAATTCATATTTCATAAAATTCACCCTTTCAAAGTTTGCAATTCAGTGATTTCTAGTATATTCACAAGATTGTATAACCATTGTCACTGTCTATTTCCAGAACATTTTCATCATCTCAGAAAGAAAACCCCACGCATGTTAGCAGTCACTCTAATCCCTGTATACCACTTTCTAGCTCTGGATTTGCCTGTAATGGGTATTTCAAATAAATGGAATTGTAGCATGTGACATTTTATGTTTGACTTATTTAAATAAGAGTGTTT